AAGTGATCTAGCTGGGGACTATTTTCAGGCGCTGTGTAATATCATTGCGCCTGCTGCACCCATGGTACGGCAGCAAAGTTCCTTGATTATTACACCGGAATGAAAGTATAGTTCCTAGCCATATCGGCCTAGAAAATCGCAACTTTTCATTTTCCGTCGGTCTTAGTACACGATGAAACTACAGAAGAGTCAAGTTTTAAATAGGAAAAATATAGAAACTCTTTGGTCATTTTTGAGCGAGATGCTAACGGTCTAATCAGATTCAATGATCTATGCTAAGCTGCAGCTAAAAGTGCTACCGCCAGACCCGGAGATCGGCTGAATGGATTTGAAAACGGTAAAACTCAACTATTTAACTCTAGGGGAGTTGGAAAATGAGTCTATTTTCAAAAATAGTGGAGTGTTCCTTTAAGCTGGTCAGTGAAACATTGGAAATCATTTCTTTGTACTTTTGTCAATTAAATAAAGGTCAAAGAGAATGAACAAATGACTGATTCTTGATTTTACTGCTTTTTACAAAACGTCACAACTTTTCTAGAATTGGAGTGGTTCATGAAAATATAACTGTAATTTTGGGTTTATGATTCCAAACTGGTGGTCTCTAAGGCATCTTTTCCCATACTATGTAAAGTTCAGTGTGTCTGTTGTCTGTTGTCTGTCCTTATATAATACTATTTCCCAAAATACCTCATTTTATTTAATTATAATGAAAATTTTAATTCCTTTTAGGCTAAATTTGGGTTAATTATATTTGTGAAGCATTTTTCACAATACCCATAGTTTCAAAGCAGCTTTACAGAGAAGCATATGATCGCGTACTACGTAATGAATGTTTGCAGTGTCTCAGACACACACTTGAGGGATCGAATATACTTGAGAGATTTAAATATTAATCAGTTTTTTTAATGTTTAAATCCATTTACCTGACAACTGGCCCATAACACTTTTGCACAGACTACTAATTTTTCCTTTAAAAAAATGTGAAAATGTAGTTTAATATGGTTTAAAATGAGTTTTTTTTAAGTTTTAGAGGAACGTGTTAGACTGAATATATTATACGATGTATTTTATAAAGTTCAGTTTATACAAGTGTCATGAATAGATACATAAAATTCAAAGCATCTGATGAGATGCGAGTGTATAATAGTGACCAGACTGCTGTCAAACTCCAGAAACATGAGCATCATAGAGGAAGAACTGACCTCAGAGAGACAAATTACTGAACAATATATCATGAAGCATTTCAAGATTTCAACAATGTCTTGACAATTATTTCCTAAATATTCTTCTCTTTATTCCAGCTCGTCTGCCTGTTCCTGTCATCAGCAGTGACTCTTCACAATGTTCTTCATCTTCATCATCATCATCACAGCAGAATTGTTCATTGGTGTGTTCAGTGGTGAATGTGGGTCATGTGACTCTCTCCTGGTACAAAGGAAACAGTTTATTGTCCAGCATCAGTGTGTCTGATCTCAGCATCAGTCTCTCTCTACCTCTGGAGGTGGAATATCAGGATAAAAACAGCTACAGCTGTGTGCTCAACAATCCCATCAGCAACCAGACCAGACATCTGGACATCACTCAACTCTGTCACACATGTGCAAGTATGTGAATGGTAAAATAAAAAAAAAATTGACAGCAAAAGCTTCATCTAAAGTAGCATATGTACTTTACAAACTCAGCTGCGCTGCTCTTTATAATGTTTGTTGTAGATTAGACACATCCACTCACACCGACTCTCTTTAGCCACTACAGCACCAGGCCCACAGCCCACTTCAAACTCTTCTTCACATTCTTCAGGCTCTGAACCTCTGATAGTGTTGACTTCTGCTGCTGCTGCTGTATCTCTGCTGCTTTTAGCTGCAGTCGGGATCTTCTGCATCTACAAGAGACACAGAAAAACAGACCAAGAAGGCAAGAGTTTCCTATTGCTGACACGTCTGTAAAAATATTTATACAATAATAATAATTAAAAAAAGATCAAGTATTTAAGAAACAAATTTAAGATTGAGTTTTGTTGTTGTTGTTGTGTTGATTTAATTATTACTGTTGAAACAGATCAGACTCGTAATGAAGATATCACTTATGCTAATCCAACGTTCTACAAAGGAAAAGCACAGAAATCGGTAAGAGAATTTATAACTGTGTCATTAATGGATATTTATTAAGTTAAGATGTTTGTCCCATAACTGTCCATACTTATAACAATAATTCAATAACAAAAATAACAATAATTCTGAATAATAATAATAAATATTTATAAAAAACAATAATTATTATTTTGATTAGTGATAATATTCATAATTATGAATGATTTTTATTATTAAGTAAATACTTTATTACATATGAATTCAGTATTTACTTAATAATACATTGGAAACTAATGTCTATAATACATAATATTCTAAATTTATTGTGACACTTCCTACAAGAAACCCAGTGTGATTCTGGGGAATTTGAGAGGAACCGACTTCATAAATGAATATGCCTCAACAGTATAAATGTCAATTATGAAAAGATGAAGTTATTTCTGAGAAAATATCCTGAGGCAAAGATGGTAAATATGAAAACAGGAAGTCCACTAGAGCCCAGATTGATTAAAATAATATTAGGGAAAGTAATCAAGTAAACAGTTGGTTATTTTTAGTGAAAGTAAAATCGAATGTGTACATTTATTTGATCCGTGCATTAGGCCTTAAAGTGACAGCAGCCTAGCACTCACTACTCTTGACTGAAGAACTCTAGTAGCTTTAATAATGATTAATCAATCTTTTATACAGTGAAGACTATGCAGTATTTTAGATTCTGTAGTATTTTTTATTTCATCTTCATTTTCATATTGTAACAACCTTATTTCCAGCACAAAAAGTGAAGTCATATGGCACACTCCTGGATTTAATAATTATTCAGTTTAGATTTGAAAACATTAATTTCATTAGAGAAATGACCAAAGAGAAAAAACAGACAGGAAAAAAACATGGTCAGGGTCTGATACAAATCTCTCAACTTTATAAAAAAACAACTGTTAAACCACTTCTAACAGTTAACATGTTATGGTTTAGTGTGTTTTTGCTAAACAGGCACTGTTACTGTTTCACGGTAGGAACTGTTTCACGGAAAATGAGGCCTTCAGAAAGCCAATGTGAGAAAAAAGTTGCACATTTTTTGCTGACTTATGTATGAATATGTGTGATAAAGAAAACATGAAAATTAGACCAAAAATGTCACTGCTGTCTTGTATAAGGAGACAGGTTACATTTGTTGCTGTGTAGAATTGACTAAAACAATCGTAATAACCTGAATTAAACACCCCATGTAAAGCACCGATGTAAATGGCCTCTGTATATTTATGCAATTATAATTTTTTTAAAATAAATAAATGCTATATCTATTCATTGGCCACAAATATAGATTGTATTGAGAGGGGACCTCTACCCATCATGCTAATGTTCATTGAAATATGAAGTTATGTTTTAATTTAAACAGTAAACTTATTGTGCAGCACTTTGCAAAATATGCCAATTAAACCATGTTAGATATTTTTGCTCTTACCGCCTAGCACAACTTAGCGTGCTGAAGACTACCACACCGAATGCTTGATATGTTAACAAACAATACATTTTTGCCACCGATTTTGAAAACTGAACTGATGTGTCTCTTTGTATCTTCTTCTTAATTGTGTTTTTCAGGAAGTCAAGCAGGAGGATGAGGTGGTGTATGCAGGCATCGTCATGAGAAGTTGATCAAACTCTTCATTTATGACGTTGCGATCACAGTCAGAACTGTTTACTCCAGAATATAAAGAATTATAAAGCTGTCTTTCCGCCAAAACAATTTTTTCATGGTTTTATTGTACAGAAAGTATGCACCGTCATATGACCCCTTTAAATATTGCCATGTCAAAAGTAGAAAATAACTTGTATCTCTTGTAAATAAATATTATTTTAAATAATGCAATGTGAAAAGTAGGAAATAATAACTGTACACACATATTTCAAATAATACCATGTGCAAAAATGTAAACTGAACACTGCTGATTAAGAGCAGGAGCAGGGATTGGACAGGGCATCTCTGTGTGCTCACAGTGTTATAGACATGAATCTGACTCATGATCATTTTTCTTCCTCTCAGTGATCTTGTCCTGTCACTCTATATGCACAAGTATTCACTCTAGGTTCTTACTAAGAAACACCTAACATTTTCACCTTTTCAGGTTTCAGGCAGGATCTGAGGCATGGATCAAAGTTTCCTCCTGAACTGAAAACCGCTCTGATGGGCAGCTAGTGACTGGTATGTAGAGATACTTTTCTGCCACCTTACTTGAGAAGAAAAGTGGTCATGATGCTTACTCCACCATTCCAGTGGGGTTTCCTCACTATCCAGCATGGGGGACACCAAGTAGTTCTTCCTAATGACCTCTTTGGCTTCTTTGCTTCTGATGAAGTTGTAGAGGGCTCTGTACTCTCTGTGGGACTTTCCCTGAGAAATGCAGCTGCTGACTCCTTCTCTGTTTTCACTTTCTCCTGAATGGTGGGGACATGGTGTGCAGAGATGCATGTCGTTTTAAATCTGGGATCAACAAAACTGGCTGTGTCCAGTAGATCTTCTGTGATGGGGTCTGGGCTATTCTCCTTAAGGTACTCAAGGATGCTGGTTTTGATTGTTTTGCTCAGCTCCACGTCATCTTCCTCCTCAGCCAGCACTTGTGAATTGAGGATAGGATAGGCTTCACCAATGAAATGGTCACATTCTCTTCTCCTGACAGGGCATCTGTGAACTCCATCAATGGGGAGACATTGACAGCATCTAAGACATCCAAGGTCAGCCCAAGATGGAGCAAGGTGCCTTGATTTTTTTATCACCAGCAAGGACCTGTGTGATGGCTTTCTTTTGCTCAAGAACCCTTGCAACCATCATTTGCATTGATCCCCATCTGTTATCACGTGCCATTTTCAGCTTGTGTTGTGGCAGCTTCAGCTCTTGTTGTGCCTTCACTAATGCCTTCTTTTTTTAACTATAGGAAAAAGCACTGACTATGTTTTTGCATGCCCTCATTGCCAGCTCCACATGTTGATCTTTCATTCCATTTTCTGAAAAAAAGACACACACAAAAAATGATACCTGAAGCTTTTAGAAAATATAGCAAAATTAATAAGAGGAGAAATGCCTCAAACTACTTAATATCAGATTAATAACACTTATAGAAAATGTTTTATTCCTTCTCTAATGATGACAATGTACTGTAGCGTTTTGATACACTGAAGTTTACATTGTAATATCAAGCACATTACATCATTAAAAAAGTGCTATATGAACAGTGTTTCTTGTTACAATATTTATTTAGTGTGCTGAAGCAAAATACTATTTATATTTCACCTTTTTAAACACATGTAACAAAGTGCTTAACAAGAACACCAGCACATTAAAGAAAAGGAGAATAAAAACAAGTAATATAAAAACATGCAGACATGATCATTTATGACACATACAAACACAGACAGGATATAGTAGCCAGTCACCACTCAGATATGTCCAATTCGATTACTGAATATTATAGCATTGTGTTTGTTAAGCTGATGTGCACTTACCGATAGCTAGGTGCAGCCGGTGTCCGAAACACCATTGCCGTGTCCATCCATTGAGCTGTGCAGCTTTGCCACATTAGCGCCGTTGTGTCGTAATGCCCACGAGGTTCTCTTCCGTGAGATCCCATGCAGAAAGCATATCTCTCAGGCCCTGTGCAATCATCTCTGTCATGTGATTAACTGGAAAATATGCTGTCTCAAGGCATCTGTTGCACAACTTCCGTTCATCGTCATTGTAGTGCAAAGTAAGGCTCAAGTCCAGGTCCATCCATCGTCCTACTTGACCAGAGATCAGATGTGGCTGCAAAGTGCTGAACAGACTTCAGACTTCATACATGTTTTGTACATGTTGGGCAGTGCAGTTTGGAAAAATATGGTCATGATGGCACAGTTTCTTCTGTCGAAAGTCTTAACGAGGTGTTTAAACCCACTGCGCTCCACTGTCCCAGGTAGCACAGGTGCATCTGCAAGATGTAAAGATCACTTCATCTGGAAAGCATCTGCTGTGTACAAACATCTGATAGACGTCTTTAAGATGTAAGTTTTACATACATTCTAAATCATAAACATCTCAAATACATTTTCTAAACGTCTATTTGCCATTTGATAGGAAACGTACTATAGACGTATTGCAGATGAGCAAACAAAACAATATTTCTTGCAGATGTAAATGCAGATGTCAAATAGACATCTCCGTGATGTACGTCTGCTATCAGGGGTAGCTATACGAGCCATATCCTTCGTGATGTAGTAACAGATGGTATCAGTTCTTTCCATCTTCCTAAATCCTTTTCAGACTATGTAGCATTTGTAAATGCTTGTGTTATCGACACCTGTTTTGTGGAGGCACTTGTTGCTGGTTGCTTGTCAGTCTCTTTTTTTGAGCCATGCACTCAATTCAATTCAAGTTTATTTGTTGACGATACAAATCGTTGCAAAGCAAGTTTATAGCAAATTAAGTTTCTAAAATATTTAGTAGTAGCTTATCAGTGGTGACTGTCAGTTATCTACATATGGCAGAAATGTACGGAAAAATCAATTAAAGACGTAATCAATTAAAGATAAATCAAACAGACGATGAACACTATTAACAGTAATTATTATATGATGCAATCAAACTTATAGCAGAATTTGGTAGTTCTGTATGTTGTTTCAGGGTTGGCATAATCTGAGGTCCTCTGAGGGGTTGGCATCATCTCTTCTCAGGTGTTCTGGATCCAGACTGAAGCTTGTGTAAATCCTAGTTACCACGGGATGTCAATCCCAGCAGAAACAGAGAAACAAATAGAGACATAGATGAGCAAACAATACAATATGTCTTGCAGATGTAAATGCAGTTGTCAAATATAGACGTCTCCATG